CTGAGGGACCGTGATCTGGCCCCCACTTTAAAAAGTTTGAGGACGCCTGAATTTATAGTATATGCCTGATACATCTATCCTATTTTCAACATTGGCAAGAGAAATGGGAAATCTGATTGTTTTGGCAAGGTATGTAGAATGTCACATTAACCAATAATCCTTATCAAAAGCTAACACATGTGGAAAATCATTATGTGGCAAGGGTAAGCAGTGTAAACCATTAGGCAGAGGAGAAGTTATGGCAAAGTGCCTAGCACAGTGTGTGCACTTAGTAAACAGTGGTTGGTCCTAATGATAAGGTATGGATAACACTTGTCTCCTTCCTAAAGATCCTCTGTCTGGAGGAAGAAATATCCTATCTCCAAACACACTTTGATATATCATGAAGTCCTTATTCTTTAAAAAGTATTACTTGAGCCGAAACCGGTTTGGCTCAATGGATAGAGTGTCAGCTTGGGGACTGAAGGGTCCCGGGTTCGATTCCAGTCAAGGGCATGTACCTTGGTTGAGGGCATATCCCCAGTAGGGGGTGTGCAAGAGGCAGCTGATCGATGACTCTCTCTCATCGATGTTTCTATCTCTCTCCCTTCCTCTCTGTACAAAATCAATAAAACATATTTTTAAAAAAACACTATTATTAAAAAAAAAAGTATTACTTGTGTAATATTATTACCTTCAGTTAATAGGTAACGTGGGTTTTCTTGGCTTTTCCCCCCATAACACTGCAAAAACAATTGTGAAACTAATAAAATAAAGCTCTATTCATCTTGCAAGTTATACTAACAGATTAGTATAAGTAAGACAATGTGCCTTTAATAAGAGCAGATGGCTAATCCTGTCTGCACACAAAGCTTTCTCCTTCTGGCTTGCCAGCTACTGAATCGCTTATACTTAACATTACTCATTTGGGATGAGGCAACATGTTTCCAAAAGACTGCTAAAATAGTAAATATTCTGCCATTATTGCTCATCCTTAATTGAGCATCTGGCCCCTGGTGGTCAGTGCACATCATAGCTACTGGCTGGTGGTCCAGTCATAATGGTCACTTAGGCATTTAGATAGATAGATAGATGATAGATAGATAGATAGATAGATAGATGATAAACTTATGTACACACATATAATAAATTCCATCCTAAAGTCGGTGTTGTCTTTTCATGGATTATAACTTTACATAGTACATCTTTACATTAACCAATCTGATTTTAAAAACTTCTGCAGAGGTGCATATATCTTTTCTGATGGGTGTTTCTGGTTTCTTGGGATATAGTCCTAGAAGTGGGATCACTGGGTCAGATGGGAGTTCCATTTTTAACTTTTTGAGGAATCTCCATACTGTCTTCCACAGGGTTGCACCAGTCTGCATCCACCAGGAGTGCAGGAGGATTCCTTTTTCTCCACATCCTCACCAGCACTTGTTGTTTGCTGATTTCTTGATGATAGCTACTCTGACAGGTGTGAGGTGGTATCTCATTGTTGTTTTGATTTGCATTTCTTGCATGATTAGTGACTTTGAACACGTTTTCATATGTCTCTGGGCCTTCTGTATGTCCTCTTTCGAAAAGTGTCTATTTAGAACTTCCATCTGACCCAGTAATCCCACTTCTAGGACTATACCCCAAGAAACCAGAAACACCAATCAGAAAGAATATATGCACACCTATGGTCATAGCAGCACAATTTACAATAGCTAAGATTTGGAAACAGCCTAAGTGCCCATCAGCAGATGAGTGGATTAAAAAACTGGGTACATCTACACAATGGAATACTATGCTGCTATAAAATAAAAAAAAAGGAACTTTTCCCATTTGCAACAGCATGGATAGAACTGGAGAGCATTATGCTAAGTGAAATAAGCCAGTCAGAGAAAGATAATTATTACATGTTCTCACTCATATGTGGGATATAATGATCAACATAATTTGATGAACAAGAATAGATTCAGAGACAAATGGCAGGGGAGGAGTGTGGGTTAGAGAGCAACCAAAGGACTTGTATGCATGCATATTAACATAACCAATGGACACAGACACTGGGGCAGTGGGAATGACTGGGGGGTATCAATTGGAGAAAAGGGAGATATATGTAAAACTTTAGATAATAAAAAGAAAAGAAAGAAAGAACAAGCATTGTGAATTGAAGAGTACAAATATGTAAATGAAGGGTAATATTTGGACAAGAATTCTAAATAAAGTTAAAATAAAAACATGGGGGGAAAGCTTCTGTAGATTTATCTAGTTTTATTTCCATAAGCTTTGTACATTCTTTATTAGTTTTATTTTTAGGGATTTTTTAAAGTTATAAATAGACTCATTTTTATTTTCTAATTATTGTTTGAGATGGGGACAGCTAATGGTGATTATTTATTAATTTTTATAAACCACTTTATTTTGCTTGTAGCCTTTCAGTTTCTTTTGAATCTTCCTAAGAATACAATCACATGAAAACACAAATTCTGCCTTCTCCACATCTATATATTTTCTTATTTCATTCTGTTGTGTAATTACATAGCTAGTATAGTCTGAGTCATAAAAACATGGGAACACTGGGCATCTTCCTTGTGTTAAGAGAAATGCGTTTGTTTTTCACCATTGGCTAATTTTTAATTTGAGCAATTTCAGATAACATGAACTAAGCTATCTAGTTTTATTTTCTAATGAATTTTAAACATCAGAAATAAAAAGAGGGAAAAAGTGTCCATTACTTCTTAGTGTTTATGAGATGATAATGTTTTTCTCCTTTGACCTGTTAAGATGAACCATTCTTGCATTCTCAAACGAATACTAATAGTATCTGTTCTTCTTAACGTTACTTTCAAAAATCACTTGGGCTGATCATACATATTTATTTTTCTAGAAGAAATACAACGGATAATTTTTAAGACTGAGCCAATGAAATTAAAAGTTTCCCTTCATTGTAAGGATGTAAAATCTGGGTCAACCTAAACAAAAAATTAGAAAACAATCATTTACCTGGCCTGAATTACCTTAATTAAGGGTTCAGTTTGATTACTTCTAGTACATGTAAATAATTGTTGTAGAAGGATTATTAAGTATTTGGGAAACAGGATAAAAAGCAGACTAATGGCCAAAACTGGTTTGGCTCAGTGGTGGAGCGTCGGTCTGCGGACTGAAAGGTCCCAGGTTCAATTCTGGTCAGGGGCATGTACGTTGGTTGTGGGCACATCACCAGTAGGGGGTGTGCAAGAGGCAACTGGTCGATGTTTCTCTCTCATTGACGTCTCTAGCTCTCTATCTCTCTCCCTTCCTCTCTGTAAAAAATCAATTATATATATATATGTATATATATATATATATGCAGACTAATGAAAATGGCACAAAACAACAAAAATGAATAGACTAGCAAAATTGCTGTTGCTATACCTCAAAAATTATAAGTAAAGAAAATTGAATTTAAACCCACATTTTAAAATATGCATCTAATGAATAAATCTAAGCACCTACACATTAATTATAATGAAAATGTAATACTTATAAGTGATATGTTCTCATAACTATAAGAGCAATCTGCACTTTATTGATTCTATGATGTGCCTTTTTTTAAATATATTTTATTGATTTTTTTACAGAGAGAAAGGGAGAGGCATAGAGAGTTAGAAACATTGATGAGGGAGAATCATCAATCGGCTGCCTCTTGCACACCCCCTACTGGGGATGTGCCCGAAACCAAGGTACATGCCCTTGACCAGAATTGAACCTGGGACCTTTCAGTCCGCAGGTCAATGCTCTATCCACTGGGCCAAACCAGTTTTGGCTGATACCCCTTTTTTATATTTTATATGTAATTTAAAATTAAGATGTAAATAGAATCTATGAACATTATGTTTCATTTCTTAGTCAACTTTTTCTTTCTTTCTTTGTAATCCATGAAATAGTAAAGTCAGTTGAAAATTGGTGGTATCTTACTTAGACTTGGTAAAATATAGCAAATATCAACTTTAAGGATTATACAAACAGCTTCATCTCCCTACCTGTGCTCTAACATAAATCCTCTTTTGGAAAAAAAAAATATACTATTGCTATAAGTGAATTTTAAAAAAATAAACTGAATTCAAATTCAACTTAGATTTTAAAAATTTGGGAACTTGAGGATTTCCTCTAAGATGATTAAAGATAATCCAGGAAGTTGCAACTAGAAGCTGGAATATAATGATGGATGCAACTAGAGGTTGGGATATAATGTTAGATGCAAGAATCCATGCAGGTGTGCATGCAATGGAGTCACTGGGCTCTACCCAGTTTTTGGTGGAGTCAGTAAGTAAAGTAATTCCAAGGCTGAAGAATTCTCAAGTGACCTTATCCAGGAAAGTAAAACAAGCAGTTATACAAGTGATTTTCATTTGGAGCTGTCAGCATAACAGAAGTCACTGGTCTTCTCTGTCCTATTTCTTATCTTTTCACCCAGCTCTCCCAGAAAATGAGAAAACTGACACAGAGCATCTCACCTATCACATCATTTCCTGGTCTTCTTGCCTGTCTCCTCACAGTAGATGACAACAATGGACCAGTTACAATTATTCTCATCAGAGCTCTAGATCAACAGTGTAGAATAGAAGATCCTACCATTACAAAACTAAATATGAAGGAAATAGCTATGAGAAAGTCCTTTGAATTGAGGGGATGTTCTAAGGCAGGGAATTCAAACTAGCAAACTGTTGCATTGATTACCACAAGCCATCTTTGTCCTCCTTCCAAGTGTAAGTTTAAATCTCTTTCCAAATAATTAAATAAAAATTTAAAGAGGAAAAAGAAAGGAAAGAAGAAAAGGAATATTTTCATGAACATGAATGTCTCTGGTCACCATATTCAACCAATAACTTCAGAACAATTCTGCTAACTCCTTTGGACAATTCTCTTTGGCTCTTTTACAAATTCTTAAAATAAAAAAGAATAAAGTCAATAGCACTTAGCCAATTTTAATTTCATTATTAGTAGAATCAACGAGGGCCCTTGACTTAAAACCTTCAATGTGGACTCACCTTTCCCACAGCTGCTTGAAAGGCCTGTTTAATTCTCTTACACGAATCAGGTATCAATTTTGTGTCTTGACTCTCCAGACTTGTGTCTTGCAAATCTGTGTTTTCATGGAGTTTGAAAATTCTATTAATGCAGTGAGTGTCATCTTCTGACATTCTATTGGGATCCATCTGAGAAACAAAAAAGAAAGCACATGAGAGTGTTTAATGGTAACCATTCTGCTATTTAATAAAGTGTGACTTAAGAACAAAAAGAAATCATTTTTTCAAGAGTCTTCATAGCCCCAATACTTAATAGTTCAAATTAGCAAAAATGTTTTTTAAGTTATCTATATTGAATTTAGTGGGGTGACATTGCTTAATAAAATTACATAAGTTTCAGGTGAAACATTGACTTCCAATTCATTTTGATGAGTAGCTATCATCCTCAACACGTGATTTATATGGAAATTGTCAAAATCATCTGGCACGTGGTCAGTGCAGGTAGAGAAAGCTTTTTGTCAAGTCACAGGCATCATGCTAGACTGGATTATAGAGCCCACTTAGAATTTGAAAGCACAAAAACTACATAAGTCAAATGAAATTAACAACTCCCTTAACCACCATGTTTGCCTGGCCTATTTCTTAAAATATGTATATTTTAATAACCTAAAGAAGGGCGAGAGCAATCCATTTCCTAGGCCCAAAGAAAACCTAAAGCTGGAACATAATTTTCCTTCTTGTTGAACCCCTTATCGGTGCTTCTCAACCTGGAGTGTGGGCTGTCAGGGTGCCTGGGAATGTGTGTGGGAGAGCATTGGTGCCACTTCGGATGAGGATGGCTGCATGGGGTTGAGCAGGCTGGGTGGATATGTACTGAGGGGTGCTAAAATTCTTGTAATGTAAGGGATTGTCCCACCCAATATATCCCCATCAAGTTACTAGCTGGTGGTTAGCAAAAGCATTTAAATATTGCTCTTTTCTGAAAAGTCTCTGCCCACTCCTTCCAGGTCTCTGACAAGCTTTTGTAGTGGTTTCGACCGCCAAGTAAAGGGTAAAGATAATTAGCTGTCAATTGTTTTAATAATAATAGTTTAATTTGTTGTCCTTTTATTTTAAAAATTCAAGGTACTTCTTGTGAATTTACTTATAAGTAGGTACAGGTTAGATGAAAAGAAAAGAAAAAAAATTGCCTTAGTTTATAGTAATCAACTTGGCCAATAATACCAAGTCTCCATTCCCAGGTTTAATTATTTTTTTAAGTAATCAGAAAGATGTCCGAATTTATTAAAGAGTCATCAGCTATAAACTAAGAAGTACCCTATCTACATCTGAAATTCCTAAAATGAAATGATTGCCTTTCAACAAGTATGCATGCACTAATGTGAATGTTATTATTCCAGTCTTGCAAAATATGAGAATTACCTATAATCGTGGGAAAGGTATCACTCAATGAGGAAATTGTTAGAAATCTGGACTGTCCTGCCAAAAGCGGGATGATCTGGTCACCTTACTCATAAAGCAAAATTATTTGCAATCCATATTAACTTTCATATTTTCTCCCAAATAATTTGTATAAATAAGAATATGTGAGTTTTTATATAAAGAAAGCTTTCAATCCTATGTTTTGTTTTGTTTTTAAAAAGCTCACTTGGGCCAATAAGTTTCCCACAAAACCAGGGAAGCCTGGGCAACTGATATGAAGGGTCATTGAGTTCAGATCTTAGGAAGGAAGAATCATGCAAGGGCCTCCGGAGGCTCACCACCAGAAAACTGCTGAGCTGAAGGAACAATGTGGTGTCAGTGGGGAAATGGCAGTAACCCTAAAATTGGTTCAGCTCAAGTCCTGCCAACAAGCTAAGCATCATCTAACAACAAGAGCAGTCCCTTAGCAACTCACAACTGAAAGGATAGCCCAGACACCTGCTGTGCGGAGGGCTCAGGGGGGACCTTGTTAGGAATGTGGAATCACAGCCTCCCCACACCCACCCTTCACCCTCCACTCACTGCCTGTAAATCTGCATTCTAACTGAATCCCACCGATTCTGATGTACATTAAAGTTAGACAACTAATGCTTTTCAATGTCGAATATATAGATACAGATCATCTGCTATTAAAGTGACTTCCAATTTCCCTGGACACCTATTTTAAAATGTTTTCACAAATAACACTAACTGGTACCAAAATGCTGCAGCACTTAACAATAGCTAATGATTTGATGCAGAGAAATATAATGCAAAAAATATATATAATAAAAAATGTCCATGTCCAGATCCCCTTTCCAACTTAATCAGCATCCCTAAAGTGATCCACAAGTGTTTCAATGTGCAGTTTTGAACCACTGGTTCAGAATGTGTCTCCTACTCCACTTACCTCTTAACAAAGCAGTCTGGATAGAAAATTTGAATAACTAAAAACAGTACTTTTTAGTCACTAATTAGATAAGTCACAAATTAGAAATGGATATAGTTCTAGTGCAAATAATTTGAAAAGCTTTTTCAATAAATTTAACATGCCAGATGAACTTCATGGAACTTAAAGTCAACAAAAAAAACACAGAAATTAATTTTAAAAAATCACAGTAAACTTAGTTACAAATGAATTCATTATACCCAGAAATGTCTGAAAAGATTAAATAAAGCTTGACTATCTGATTTAAAATGGACTTTTAAAATGCATTTATCAGATAATGTAGTTCATATGAAATAAACTCAATTATTTAAAAAAAAAAAAAAAAAAAAAAAAAACTTCCCTGAAATTAAATCATTTAAAGGGTTAAATGAGGCAGGATGCTTGACATTTGTACTATTCCGTTATCTGTCTTTACAAACAGGCAGCCTGCATACCTCTACCTCAGAAGTTCAGTAGGACTGCTCTCCTGTTTGGGTAGCACACAGCCAGAGGTTGGTGTGCCTATTGGGGGTTTGGGGAAATGACTTAAAAGGGCAACCGAGATTGAGTTTTCTGAAAAGCTTATCTCTAAACTTTGAATATGCTTGTAGGGGTGTTTTAAAAATTGCACATACATTTTACAAGCAACTTGTTAGAAGGTGTTATGTTGGTGTGGTATTTTTTTTTTTTGAAACCCAAAGTATGAATACTATGTGGTAAATATATGGCACAAGCCACATGCTATTTTTTCTTTGGCAAAGTTGGTGGGGGGAAAGCCAGTCTACACCAAAACTAGTGCCCGTTTTCCTTCATTTAAACACTGGTGATCTGCAAACATTAAGGAGATTGACTCATTTTTAATTACTCAAACATGAGTTGAGAGACACAATTTTTTGTTTTAAATGTGTTTTTGTTGATTTGAGAGAGAGGAGGAGGAAAGGAGGATAGAGAGATAGAAACATCGATCAGCTGTGTCCTGCACACCCCTACTGGGGATCAAGCCTACAATCCAAGCATATGCCAGGAACTGAACCAGCAATTTCTTGATTCACGGTGGACCTTCAACCACTGAGCCACACCAACTGGGCAAGAAGAAGAAAAGAAAAAAAACTTACGTCACTGTAATTTTTACAGTATTTTTAGCATTCTTCTAAATACATTTAAAACTAAACTTTTTTTGTATTGCTTCTCCTCTCCCCCTTTAAATAAAAGCAATAAAATTGGACGCTTTTTCTCGTGTGATTTTCTTTTTTTACTGTAAAGTGCAATGTTATCTGACATCAGATGATTTCATTCTAATTCAAATGCATTCACAAACCCCAAGCAATTGACCCACAACTTTAGTGAGTCAAACTATCTCTTATTTGGTACCAAGTTCTAATCCAAAGAGGTAACATTAAGTGAAAATATTAAATCAGTGACAGGTCAAAATGAGTCTATTCTCTTAGCTAGAACTTTGAAAAAGACCTCCAACAGATATAAAAGTGGGGGAAATTGTTTATTGAACACCCACGTACCCATCATGAGCGTCAAAGATTGCCAAGGCATGGCCAACCTTGTTTCCTCTCTAAATAACCACTTCTCTTCCCCCATGCTCTAGACTATTATTCTGAAACAAACTCCAGATATCATAGCATTTCACTTGTAACTACTTCAAAGTTTACCCCTAAATTATCAGGCATCCTCTAGATATCAAACTTAGATATCATTCTCAATAAAAGACAACCAGACTTGGTGTATTCTTATGAACACGTTGCTACTAATATTACTTCTTTACTGAAGGAGATGATCTTTTAAAATGCAAAATTGGGTTCAGAGTAACGGCTAATATATTTTGCATAAGTCCTAGAGAAAAATAATTTCTGTGCCATTTAGGAAAATCATACCCAGAGACATCATTACGTTACATTATCCAAATGAAAACTTTCTAGCTAGGCTTACTTATATGTTTACTTTGGAAAAGGGCTTCACGATTATCCATGTGACATCAAGACTGCTGAGTTATGATAGGTGATCATCAGAAGGCTATCCCCCTCATCATACCAGACCATCAATATTGAGACATCCTACCAAGAAGTTGAACAACTTTAGTAAGAGCCCAGCAGGTCATTCTTTCTCATGTAGCTACCCAACTTCCAAGGTTCCTGCCAAACTAAACTGCTCCTGGTCCCTAAAACTGCTCTTTCAATGCTGACCACTCACCTCACTGTTACTGCTGTGAAGATGCCTATACCACAGGCGTCAGAGGTGATACCAGGTGGAGAACTAGTGCATCTTCGCGCCCTTTTCTGAATGCTAGCCTCTTGTTTGATTAAAAATTTTAAGGATTTTGTTGTAGGCTTCTCCATTACTGGTACCAGGCCATGCACATAGTCAGTGGATATTGTATGTTGAATAAATGATTCTAAACTCATACTGCAGAGTACTTCATAGTGCCATGTGCAATGCAGGCATTCAACATGCAATCATTCAATGGGGGTGGGAGGAAACAACATGCTAGATGAGAAAATAAATAAACCACTCATTCTTTTTTTTTGTTTTTAATCCTCACCTTAGGATATTTTTCCATTGATTTTTAGAGAGTGGAAGAGAGAGGGGAAAATATCGATGTGAAAGAAACACATTGATTGGTTGCCTCCTGCACGTTCCCCAACCAGGGCTGCAACTGAGGTACTGACTGCCCTTGACCGGAATCTGAACCCGGACCACAGGCCAACATTCTATCCACTGAGCCAAACCGTCTAGGGCAAACTACCCCTTCTTGACTGCAGCATACGACAATGAAAGAAAAACATTTCCTTACTTTCATATAGATTTGGGTTGCAAGTAAATCACTCAAAGTTGTTTTTAGAAAAAAAAAATCTTGCAATAGATTATTTTTATTACTACACAAATGCAAATTTTCTGAAGTATTGCACATATTATTTCTACCTTTGTTTTAGTAGGTAATCAAACTAGTTCTACAATACACAAGCCAGTGGGTAATGAAAGCTTAACAAAAATCTACGATATCAAGTAATGGAGTTCAAGACTGACACGTGTCAAAAACCTTTAGAACCCGGGCATTGCCATGTTTTGATGCATCCCATTGGGTTTAGTAATCACCTTTGAATCTGAAAACCAATGAAGTTCAAATCCAACTCTCTTTTCCCATAAAAAAAAAAAATGCACAGTCAGCCCTCCACTTCCTCTGAGGAGTTCACAGCACCAGACAAGAGTCTTTGAATGAATCCAACCAACTGCACTGCAATTTCCAAGAAAACACAAGAGCATAAACCACCAGAAAGCATAATATTACAAATTTACCCCTTCCTTCCTTTCTATCGCTGCAGTCCCAAGCTGTCCTCCTCATCTTGCAAACGGTTGGTTATTTGCTGGATTGTAGTGAGGCTATGTCAGGGGAGAGAACTTCACCGCCTTCACACACACACACCTTGATTCCTTTCTCTTCTCACCTCAGGGGGAGGCGCCTGGTCCTTCCCTCTTCTGTAAGCAGAGCCCAGGTTTCTCAGGTCGCATGGTCATTTGGCCTTTCTAGCAACTTGGGCGTCACCACCCGGGGCTCCAGCGGCTGCGCACCCGGCCCCAGGCACCCAGACCCTCTGGTGGGCGGCCAAGGGAAGAAAGGCTCCATCCTTAAGAGAAGGCGCTCATTTTCCCCCCTAAGCGGGCACCAATTCATTCTTAGCTCCCGGTGAGAAATGGGAGGAAGGGAGAGTCTAATAATTTGCACAAGAGGTGAGCGACCAATGCTGTCTCGCGGGGGGAAATTCAAACGCGCCAGGCCGGGCGAGCTCAGCCTCCGCGCGCGGCGAGACCCGGTGGTGAGCGGAGCCCGGTGCCAGCGCGCCCGGACCCTCCCTCTCCGGTCCCTTCCCTCCGCTCAGTGAGCAAGAGCTGGGGAGCCCCGCCGTCCAGGCTCAGTTTCCCCACCCGCGCGGGAAGGAGAAGCCGGGTGGGCGCGCCCGATGGGGAGGGGAGCACTCACCTGCGCTCGGAAGTAGAGGAACAGGGCGACGCTGCAGACCACCTGGCCCAGCCCCAGCCCCAGGAGCGCCACGAACATGACCCGGGAGGCGGCGGCGGGCGGGTGCGGGGCGGGGGCCCCGGGCGGCGGGGCGTGCAGGGGGCCCTCGTGCGGGGCGCCGGCGCCGCCGCTGCCCATGTCCTCGGAGCCGCGCAGGGACTTGGTGTAGTCTCGGCTGGCGCGGCGCATGGCGCTCCGCCCGCTCCCTCGGGCGCTCGCCTCCTGCTCGCTGCTCCCCTCGCCGCCGGGAGCCCGCGTGGCCAGTCCACGGGCGGCGCGGAGCCGGCGGGCCAGGCGGGCCTCGACGGGAGCGCTCAGAGCCGGGCGCTGCTCCGGGCGCGCGGGCGAGCGGGCTGGCCGCCCCGACGCCCCATCTCTTATAAAGCGCTTCGAGGGGGCTGGCCCCGGGAGCCAATCAGCCCGGGGCGAGTCTGCCTCTTCCACTCCCACCCCTGGCTCCTGTCCTTCCTTCCTTCGGCCTCCCTTCTTTCTCACTCTCTCACTCGAAAGCCTCCTCCCCCCGCCGCCCTCCGAGGAGGAGACTGTGGGTTGTTGCAGTGGTTACAGACACCGCCGGTCTATCCTCAGCTGCCTTTTTGGAGTTCCCAGCGACGGGCCAGCGAAGATGCGGAGGCTCTGTCTCAGTTAAGGATAAAGGTCACGTCGGACGCCTACCCCCACCCCCAGGTAATTTGCATCCCTGAACCTCAGCTTCCCCTATAGGACCTGGGGATCTATGAAGGCCCTTTGTCTGTTTCTCCTCCCAATCACCCCTCACACCCCTCCCTCCACAAATACACAGCAAGGACCATCCTCAGGGATCCTGAGACTGCAGTCTCTATCATGGTTCCAAATTTAGGTTCTGAATTAGTATTCTGGGGGACTTAGGAAAACAGAACCCACCCCCCCAACCCCCACCACCCCTTTCCCAAATCCATGTTTCCGAGCCCTCAAAGTGATTTTGAAAGTGGCAATAGAGAGCCTATAGGGACCAACTCTGATTTTAAACAGGAAAAAAGAAAAGAGAGAGTGGAAGGACCCAGTAGCTTCATATATAGGATCACACATTACATTCCTTCAGAGTTCATCATGTGCCACCCCTCCTGGCTGGCAGTCCTTTTCCTCACTACCCTAAAGATAAGCGTGGTCTACACCCCATGTAGGCAACCCCAGGAGGACTCATCCAACTGTCCGTCAGGAAAGAGGGATGTTGCACAAAGCTGGTGGTGTAGTTAAATGTTAGTTTCATTGCTAAAGAAAACTTTCCAGGGCTTTTTAAAAGATTCTACTGCATTTAGAATTGTGCTCTTGGTGAGAAAATGAAAATATGAACATTGCTCACAAATTCTGATACATCTTCAGCAGGAAGTCTGGGAGGTTCTGGCCAATTTAGAAACCTATAAAAACTTTGGATGTTTCCACTTTTCATGAATGCTTTCTAATGTTGTGTCCTCTTTCTGCATAGTTCTCTAATGGGCCCTTCTACAGGTAAGATTTACCACAAAAGGCGCATCTCTAAGTTATTAAAGCTGGTGACCTCTGCTGAGCACCTAGAACTCAGCACACATTGAGAAAGCATATGAGATTAGTTAAAAAAAAACAAACAAAAAAAAAACACCTAGGTCAGAAATTCCACTTTGTCTACTTGTTGCTCCTTCAAAGATAGTGAACCTCTCTTTTTGCCTATTTATTTACATACTCATTTGTCAGCATTCCACTCCCCAATTAATATGTAATCCCCATATTTTCAAGGACTTTATCTGTATTATTCACCACTATATCCCCATTTCCTAGACAGTTGCCTGATAACAGTAGGTGCACAGTAAACACACGTTGAGTAAAAAAATGATTGAAGGGATCCACAGAGCCTCTGCCACTACCCCAGTCGAAATCACAGCTTCTTACCTGAATTAATCACATCACCTAACTGGTCCCATTATCGCCAGTTTTGTTTGCCCCTGAACCACTTTGTACACACTGATCAAGATTTCCTTTTAAAGTAAAAAGATCTATCATCTCCCTCTTTCCAATCTTTCAATGACTTCTAAGTCTAAGCTCAATAATAAAAACCTCAAATGGTCCTTCACAATCTGGCTCAAGATTCGTTTTATACATCAGCTTCAAACACTACTCCAGGCTGTACTGTGTCTCCCATCTCCTGATTCGGGCTGACTCTCCTACTGTCCTTACTCTCTCAGCTCAGATGTCCCTTCTCCCAAAGTCCTGGGCTGGCTCCCTCTTTCACAGCACCCTTAACTTCTGTCATGACACTCATGCATGCATTCATTCACTCTACAGATACATTAGTGGGAACCCACTATATACCAAGCACTCAGTTGGACCTTGAAACAATGTGGTGGTCAAAACAGAACATAGGGCTTCCACTTTAAAAACATATTGAACAAATCCGTAACAAATAATGAACTAAAATAGTAATAATTGTTTTGAAGGCAAAGTGCCACAACAATGAAAACATTTTAATAATAATGGGGCCTAACCTGTTTAAGAGAGTTAGAGAGGGCACTTTGGGAGAAGATAATGATTAAAATAAATACCTAATAGCTACCCAAGAAGAAAATGACCAGGGGGCTATCTTAAATGAGGATGATTGAGGTTTTGTAATTACTTGTTTAATATATCCTCCTTGTTGGATTTATATGTCTTACTGTGAAATCATTATTACACTTATCATTATACTGGAGGCTTGGTGCATGGCATTCATGCCCTTGGAAGGGATAGGGGGGTCCCTCAGCCTGAACTGTGCCCTCTCGCAATCTGAGACTTCTCAGGGAATGTCAAAGATTGAGCTGGTTTCAGCCCAATCCCCGAAGGCCACACAGAGGGACTCCACTGGTGCACAAATCTGTGCACCAAGCCTCTAGTATGCATATAAGATCTTTGATTAATCTATCCCTGCCTTCCCCCTACCCCATTTCCCTCTGAGACTTATCAGTCTGTTCCATGTTTCCATGCCTGTGCATTGAGTGTTGGCCCCCTGGTGGTCAGTGCACATCATTGCTACTGGTCAAACAGTTGAATGGTTGAATGGTCAACCAATTGCTTAGGCTTTTATACAATATATATAGATATCAGGTAATCAGTTAATTTGTTACCAAAATAAAATAATTAAGTCATCACCAATACATATTAAGTGATGCCAAGACCAAGAACACAACTGAAGATTCAAGTTATCACTACTCAGCCACAAACAACATGTAATTAGATTAACATTTATCAAACTGTATCTCTTAGTAACCTGGTGTATTAAGACAGAATTCTTTTGAAGTCAAGTGACAATAATGGTTGATGCATTTGAAAATGTAGGCTTTGGTCTAGACTTAGACATGGCTGGATATAGGCCTGAATCAAATGCCATTCCCTTTAGCTGACAATTGAGTTAACACAATCTGAATCTCATGAACTAAGAGGAGGGGAGAGGTAATTCCCAAAAGAAAATTAAAGTGCATATATCAAAAAAATAAGGAGCTAATGCTGTGCTGCTGGGCAGGCAAAAATAATAGTTATCCACTATTAGTAATTCTTTTAGGTCAACAATGTTCAAACTCTTGGGCCTCAGGACTGATACCTGGCATATTAGAAATCCAAACTAAGAGATTTTTAAAAATATATTTTTGTTGATTTCAGAGAGGAAGGAAGAGGGAGAGAGAAATAAAAACATTGATGATGATAGAGAAACATTGATTGGCTGCCTATTGCAGCCCCACACTGGGGATTGAGCCTGCAACCTGGGCATGTGCCCTGACCAGGATTTAAACTGTGACCTCCTAGTTCAGAGGTTGACACTTAACCACTGAGCCATGCCAGCTGGTAGGGCCAAAATAAGAGATTTTTTAACCTATTAGCATGTTAACATAGTAGTTTATTTAAAAAAAAAATTTTTTAAGTAGAAAGAAAAGTGACACTGTTTTACATTTTTTAAAACCCTTTTATGTTTGGCTTTGTAGATTCTCCTAACCACTTATGTACTTATGTGTTATAATATTGCATATCCTCCACCTCTGGAACACTCCCCTGTACCCTCTTAAAAGAATGAGAATGAGAAAGGAAATAGTTCCTTACTGTTATGAAATCCTTTCACTTCATATATGAACCCTGTGAGGATCTCAGAGACTCTTAGACATTCCCAGGCCACACTGTGAAATGGCTATTTGAAAGGTTAGTTGGCATTCACTTAATAAAAGGGGTGATCCCATGGTCAGATCCGCTTGGAAAATACTATGTTAAGCAACACATTAGTTGCTTTATGTTCAATGCAGTTCTTAGCAGTAGCATTAATGTACAAATATATATTGTAAATCTCCTGAAAAGAGATTTGTAGTCACTGTTTTCCAAAATTTTTTAATTTCATTTGATATACTTCATATATCAAGGGTTTGAGCAACAAGGATTTAAGTACAAACTAGATGAGAGACACCTGTGGGACACCAATGGACAGTACAACACAGATGGCCTAAGTGTCAGTAAAAGAGTAACCAGGGGACATATGAGAAATGAAGGAACAAGAAGAGGAGAGACAAGAGACAAGACCATGGAGAATGTGAAAGACTGTGACAAACTGGAGTAATGTATTCAAATCCACTTTAAGCATGTTGATTGGCCATGCAAAGTATTTCCACAGACCTGCAGCTTTCAGCCATTGCTTTTGCTTCTGGAGCTCCTTTAAAAACCACCAGTTGATCAGATTACTCTCAACCTCCTTATCATGGTTTATATTCTCTTCCGGTTCCCACTTCCTTTGTTGCCTCATTTTCCCCCTCCAGCCTCACCCTTTATGCCCCAACAACACAAAAGTACTTGCAGCCTCCCATTTCTTACCTCTATGCTATTGGTCATCCAGCCTCTTCTGCCAGGATTGCCCTTTCTTGATTTTTTTCACCTGACCACTGGCTTATCTTCATTCAATTAAGGCCCCAGGTACTAATGCTCCTAGGTTGGGCTCTATGATTCTTTATTAAATACTAGAAGCCTGGTGCACCAAATTCATGCCCTGGGGGTGGGAGAGTCTCTCAGCCTGGCCTGTGCCCTCTGGCAGTCCTGGATCCCTGGTTCCTTACTGCCCTCCTGCTCGCTGTTCCTTAGGGCTGCTGCAGAGGCAGAAAGGCTCCCACCATCGTGGCTGCACTCACCAGCCCTGAGCCCAGCTTCTGGCTGAGCAGCACGCCCCCTGTGGGAGTGCACTGACTACCAGGGGCAGCTTCTGCCTTGAGCGTCTGCCCCCTAGTGATCAGTGTGCATCATAGCAACCGGTCATTCTAGTTGTTCCACTTAGGCTTTTATTATATAGATGTATATACATTGCTCATTTTGTAATCTTTAATTTACTTCTCTGTCTCACCTATTGGCCTGTAAGCTCCATGAAGAAACTAATTATCTTCATCCTACTGTCTTAACACAATGCTTAGTGAATGTTTTTAA